GTATCACCCTCATTTTGGAAAATCGACTTTTTGACGAAAGCGCGTTTTACGTAGAAAGTAGTTCTTGAGAATATGCTTATAGGTTCAAGCTAGAGCTTAGTGCGATATCACGTTTTGTAAAGAAGTGTTCGCTCTACAAAATCACCGACTCCGACAATTTTTAGCACCTTCGCAAAGGGATTTATGGGAGTTAGCAAAAACCCTGTTTATTCGTCGTCCAAACCAATTTTTAGACCTTTCAAAGATTCCTTCACTTCTCCCAAACAAAAACAGACATCCAATTTCTGAGTGCATATTCGGAAAGAGCATAAGATTCTGGTAATAACCTATAGTTTTCCACTCGTCTAAAATACTTTCAAGCATGCCAAAAAAGAACAAACATTGTGTCCAGAAACTTCGGCACACCCGTTCCGTCCAAACTAATTTTTTAGGCCTTTCAAACATTTCCTCACTACTCTCGAACAAAAACAGACACAACATTTCTGAGTCCATATTCGGAAAGAGCACAAAATTCTGAGTCTTACTAACTGCTTTTGACTCGCACTAGTTGCTTTTAAGTAATCGGAAAACGAACGAACATTTTGTCTAAAGACTTTTGCAACAGAGGTTATTTCAAATTTAACAAGGATCAAGTTCAACTGAAAAGTATTTCAATTGAATTAAATCGATATTCTTATTAATCATCTCGTAGGAATTTTAGTCAAATTCAATCTATTGAAATTTAATATCTTCTGTTTTTCATCAGTTAGAATAGATTGAAGAATTTTCTCGAGAAAGATTTCATCAGAAAACGATTGAAAATAAAGAACAAGAATCAAAATGAAAAGATCATTATCATCTAAAAGAGTTTTTTAAATAGAATATTGATTCTACTTGTTCATTATGAAATGAACTAATCGAACGAAGAAGAAGAAGAAGAAGACATTCTGACAAATACTCTTTCAAACATTTCACCAAAAGATATCAATCCTTAGGAATAAATCAACTACAGTACGCGACAAAAGTATCACTAACAGATTAAAACTATCTAAACCTCAATGGTTTGGACTCATATTTTTATTATAAGTAGAACTCAGCGAATCCTGATCCAGTGGCGGATTTAGGGGGGAGGGACGCTTAGGGCGATCGCCCCCATTCGAAAAAAAAATTTTCGATTTTCCCAGCAGAAAAGTCACTAAATAGGGTTCATACTACTACTAATAAACTTCGAAACTCGCTATCTGATCAAAATCGCCCCCTATCAAAAAAATCCTAGATCCGCCGCTGTCCTGATCGCAGGCAAAAGCTCGAGCCCTATCCCTTTATTAAGGCTGAGATAAAAGGTCAACATGAAGGTTTTTTTAATATTGCATTATCTCGAGCTAGGAATGAGCTTTTTACAAGGGGGAAAACACGTACTCCCGTACTCCGAGTACAAAGGAGTACAGGGGAGTACAAGGGAGTACATGGGAGTACAAGAAAGTACAAGGGAGTACATGGGAGTACAAGAAAGTACAAGGGAGTACATGGGAGTACAAGGGAATGCATGGGAGTACAAGGAAGTACAAGGGAGTACATGGGAGTACATGGGAGTACAAGGGAATACATGGGAGCACATAGGAGTATAAGGAAATACATGGAAGTATAAGGAAACACAGCGAACGTAATAATGTACCACAAATCGACCCCAAATATATCTCGAAAAAACGGCACGACTGATATTTTTTTCTTTTGTTGATTTATAAACGATCTCGAATCAAGGAGGAAAACACGTACTCCCTCACTCCGAGTACTCCCAGAGCACAGAGAGTACGCGAAAGTACAGGAAGTACATGGGAATACAACGAACGTAATAGTTTATTCCGAATATTTTTTGAGAAAGTATTGCAAGACTGCTTTTTTCCTTGTTTTAATTTTTAAACGACCTCGAATAATAGCAAGGGGGAAGCGGCACTCCAGGATCTCAGATACTCCGATACTCTAGCTCGTATTCTGGTACTTCGGACCGTACTTCACATCGTACTCCAGCAGCTAAGACATGCTTTGTGTTGTTCGCAATGGGCATTTCAGTGAGAATCTACCATCTTCCATCATGTGTCTCGCGAGGGAGGGTCACCAACTGATCAATCGCTTTTGAGTCGGAACAATGTGTATCATATAGGTCCTAATGAGCTATGAATACTCTGAAAAGAGTTCGGGCCGCTAGCTTAGTATTGTCGAAATACTGCATGTTTGTGGTATTTTTAATTAAGCACAAAGCCGTGGTCCCTCAGAAACCAGAAAAACTGGGTTTCGAGTTTTGACTTGAAACTTTGCACAGAAAAAGGCCTCAGTGAGAGTAGTTTATTGTGAAAGTTTCAGGTCTTTTGGTTGTTCCTATCCTAAGATACAGCTAAAAAGAGTGTTTTTACACTGCTCGTATATCCCCGACAGGTTTCGATGTTCTTATTTCAGAATAGGAACAACCAAAAGACCTGAAACTTTCACAATAAACTACTCTCATTGAGGTCTGTTTCTCTGCCAAATTTCAAGTCGAAATTCAAAACTCAGTTTTGCTGGTGTTCCTGAGAGGGACCATAGCATTTTGCTTAACAATATCGTAAAAATGCAGTATCTCGACAGTAATAAGCCAGTGATCCGAACTCTTTTTAGAGTATTCATAGCTCATTAGGACCTATATGATGCACATAGTTCCGACTCAAAAGCGATTGATCAGTTGGCGACCCTCCCTCGTCAGTAGTATGATTCAAATTATCAACTTTACTCTTTGTGTTGGATTCCGGTTTGGAGTACTGGAGTAACGCCGGAGTCTCATCGGAGTACTGGAGTAACGCCGGAGTCTCATCGGAGTACTGGAATACGAGCCGGAGTATCGAAATATTATTGAACTATCGCAGTATGGGAGTTTCAAGTCAGTAGTCAATACCTGTAATTCCGGCTACACTTCATTTCACGTTTGAGAATCATAATGATCGAAAAGAAGCAACGAAGCAATTAACTGTAAGCACCTCAAAATGGGTTCATCCTTTGGTATTTCCACCAAACTCAGATACTCCGGGCGTACTCCAATACTCTGAGTAATACTCCGATACTCCAAGTCATACTCCATACCTAATTTTGTTATTCTGAGTCTTGTTGCGATTCTCGTGAGCCAACTTCGATGCTTTTAATACATGTTTGGCACTTTTGATGGATCCGAAGTCAGCCGTCTTCCCATTGAATAATAGGTTGTTTAGTAGACAAAGCAACTAGAGTGGTATGTAGTGGACGAGACATCGCATTCCTCTTTTTCGTCTTTCTTATAGGTGAACGCAGGGGTGAAAAAGTGGATTTCCAAGATTCCGGATCCCTGAGAGTACAATGGGAATCCTTGAAATCCAGGAAGTACGATGCATCTTATAGGGGTATTCATAAGTCCACATGGGCTCTCTTATGGAGGTACCCATAAGTCCTCATGAGCTATCCTATGAGAATACTATAAGCAAGGGAAAATAGCAGACTCCCGGACTCCACGAGTCCCTAGAAGTCCCGAGGAGTTTCAAGGACTCCCAAGCAATCTCAAAGAGTTCCAAGGTGTCTCATAAAATACAGGAGCGCAGCTCGGTACACATCAGTTTCTTCTCATTAGTATTTAACCTTTGACCCTTAACCTTTGATCTGAACAGTCAGACCAGCATGATACATGTGGGTGCTACTACTCCTGAATACGTCGAAGTAGCGAGAAGACCCAAAGGAATTCCAAGGAAATCTCTGGAAGCCCCATAAAGTCCCTCAAAATTCGAAGAAATCTCATGAAATCCTGGAAAGCCCAGAAGTCCGCGGAAGTCCCAAGGGGTTTCTGGGAGTTCCGAGGAATCCCTAGGAGCACGAAATCTGGGAGTCTGCTGTTTCCCCTTGGATATGAGTGGCGTTCTTATCACAGTTTGTGTTCCTACCTAGAAGCCCTTGAAAATCTATGACGATTAACGCTAGATATCTCCTTAACAGTTAGCGGTATCCGACATTCCTCCACGAAATAATGCTTGGAGAGTAACTGGAACTACCGCAAGACAGTGCTTGAAAATCTAACAATACCAAACATCAATAGCCCTTGGTGAATTGTGAGTACCTTCCTAGGATAGGCCATAAAGACTTATGGTACCTCCAAAAGATATGTCATGAGAACTTATGGGTACCCCATAGGATAGGCCATGGAGACTTATGGGTGCTCCCAAAGCATAGGTCATGGGAACTTATGAGTATCCCATTCAAGAAGAAATAGGAATACTTAAAGTGATTGACGAAGGTACCTGTGATACGGTCTCCTACATAAGAATTGTATTTCACAGACTCCTTGTACTTCGGTGTACTCCTGAAGTCCAGGGAGTACAATGGGACTACGGGAGTACAGCGGAGTAGGGGAGTACGTGATTTCTCCCTTGCTTTAACGTTAAAGTGTTAAAGTATGTTACTTTAACTTTAACTTTAA